AGGTCAACCCGACTAACAGTCATACTGTCTCATGCAAAAAAATGTGGTGGTCTATATAATTATATTATGTAAGTTTCTAATTTCTTTTCTTATCTTTTGCTGGAGAAGGAAAAAAAATACAAATACCATACTTTCAATCACTATATTAAAGCAAAAAGGATAGCAGTATAGCACAAGTTCTACAGCAAACTGCAAAACCTAAAAGAATGAAAATAATAATACCTAAAGTCACCACTCACCACCAAATATTCTCCTGCCCTAGAAGACAAACTGCTGCTTTACAATACAAATTTCCCCCCATTATCATAAAAAAAGAACCCTCAAAATTTGGAGGAAAACACCACAGAAAATATAAAAACATAAAGAACTCCACACAATTTTTATGGTCACCATCATATATATTTATAAAAAGAAAAAAAAAATGACCTGCATTCAGCAAAAAAGGCCTCCTAACGATGCCACGTTCACCCGACCGTTATCGTAGCTCGATGGCCAACGGGCCCACACGACTCAAACGAATTCCACTCTCTTGCACCGTTTCGCTTCGCTCATCAGGCTTCGGTTCCCAATATCTCGGAGCACGACCCAAATAATCCCAACCCAAGTCGTTATTAGAACAGCCAGCAGACCCAAATGCTGGCCCGTTATCAAACGGGCTATCCCTATCCCGGTTTTGCCCCCAATCGTCATCACCTTGATTATTATGTGACTTGGTGTTGTTCTTATCATTCTCCTCCGCGTCACCCCATCCCCCGAGCGAATAAGATTGGTTCGCAAAGAAAGAGTCTCCGAAAATAACGACGGGCTCATGGTCTCCAGTGAATTCGGGCTCGAATTCGGGCCAATGCCCGGTATTATCAACTTCCGAGTCCCAGTCGATTTTGTCAATGTAAAGATCGGGATCGGGCGGAAGGAGGTTGCAAGGGAGCCCGTTTATCCTGGCCCAATAACGTTTTTTGGCATTCAAGAGCGCCTCCTCGCCAGCCGAGTCATCCCAATTGAGCACGTTTTCGTAAAGATGCATGAATTTCTTCATGTGCAGTAGAGTTTCCCAGTCAAGGGACCCGACTACTTTGCAGAACTCCTTTTCCCATTTAGGCACTGTAGGCTGCCAGGTACCTGCAAACACGGGCAGAAAGAATCGAGAAATTTTTTGGAACAGTCATTTTCCTTCTGGTGAAAAAAAAAATGAAAATGAGATGGTGGGGCTGAATTAATCAAAGAAAAAATGAGCAAACACATTATTGAAAACTTGATAAGGTGGTGGCTAAACAAACACGTAAATGCAATATAATAATTGAACTGCAAGACAACAATATGTTAATTGTAGAAATAAGTTAGGCAAAGACCATTATAGCTATATACACTGGTAGGCAAAGAACTAGCAGCAACAAGAAAGGATTTGGAGGAATTTTGAGCAGAGAAGATGGAAACTTCGGAATTCTTATACCCTTTTGTCCACCAATTACAGTAACATTTGCAAGTTCAGCAATGAAAATAAAGGAAAAACTACACCAATCTAATCTGTTCAACAAATTGAAGGACCTGTATTCGTATACGAAAGCTCAATCGGTAAACTAAAAACACATGAGTCATGCTAAATATATCTTAATTTTCCCCAAATAAACGTTGAAAAAAATCAATTTCAGCACCATTCTCATAACACAATAGCTCAAAATATTCAAATTTTCCGAGACCCTGCACCTCGTCAATGGAGGTCTCAACTCTCAACTCAGGAAAACCTGTAAATCACTCTTTTCAAACCATAACACTAACACCAATAAATTAATTATGTCCAATATAGTTAT